GCGTGGTTAGACTACCAAAGCAGGTATTCTAACCACAGTTACATGTGGGATTCAGTTTCCCTTGAGCGGCATATGATATGGACCAGTCCTTGGGGCACCATTTTATATGAGGGCTGTGCCTCTCGAACTCCAGGCATATATAACTCCATTTAAATAAAAAAATAAGTCCTAGGTTCTGGGGAATTCATCTTGAATTCCAGTTTGAGACACAGTCAAACTAAAGTCTTCCATGACAAAGCAAATGCTCACTGCAACAGAGATGTGTCTAGATGTCTAGATAAATGATTATTTTTATAAAACTGAATAAAAACCATGATCTTTTAGTGTGGGTGGGACTTACGTCTTCCCAAGACTATGGGTATGGACTACACTCTAAGAGTCACTGAATGAGGAACACCTGCAGTGTGGCATGGAAAAGGCCAGGGCAGCCTGAAGGGATAGCCCAAGCCCTCTCTGCCTCATTCATCCGTCATGTCACCTCTCACCCTCAGGGGAGGGACACCTGGCCTGGGCTCCCGTCCCTAACCCCAGCATTTGGGTGGCAACTTGTGGCTAATTCCCAGGATGTTCCATCTGCCTCTCCTGTGTAGCAAGCCAGAACCTGCCCTCTTTCTCATCTGGGAGAGGTAGAGTTTATTTTTATTTTGGTTTCCTCTTTCCTCCAGTGCTACCTTTGGATTAAAATCTTAATGGTGCTAGGTGACGTTTCAAATTGGGATATTTTAGAACTATCCTATGTCCTGGAAGTTAGATAGTAGGTAATGTTTTCATGAACAACAGAATCCAATTAAAATCATGAAAATTTGCATCCAACACATTTTCCTACATCTTCTAGAAAGGACCCAGCCTGCCCAAACCCTCTCACAGCCAGACAGACAGGACATCGTTGGAATGAGTCTGACGTAAGCGAGCACCCGAATCCCTGCAAGATTTTGGGCAACATGCTCAACCTGGGAGCCTTAGTGCTCTGCTCTGCAAGATGTGGAGAATGTTAGTTTTCCCAGAGGGTGACCAGGAGGGCTAACTGAAACCATCAAGGTGCCTAACAAGAGCCCAGCATAGAGAGGCTAAATCTCCTTCACTGCTGGAACTAGCTATAATATCAGAAGAGGATCCTCTCTCTTTCTGGCCTCCCCTAGGGCAAGGCAGTCTTCCCCCGGCCCAGGTTTTTGTCACACAGCACATGTGCTCCCCAGACAGAGACAGAGAGAGGGAAAGTGAGAAATCACCCTCTAGGGGGAATGGCCATGCTGCAATCCCTTCTCCTCCATTTTCCTCTCAGGATTTTGGGCACATACACATAAGTGCCTGATTTTCAAGCTACCGGGTCCAGGCTGGCCATGTGTGAGTCCAGAACCTTAACCACCACACCACCTGCAGGCCCCAGGTGGTCTGTTTAAAGCATGCATTACCTAAAAAGATAGCAAAGGTCAACATTTTGGAGATCACATCAGAATACTTGGACTAGTGCCAGCCGAAGGCAGGCAGCTGTTCCTCATTCCATTCAGTCTCTCTCATTGACCATCATTTGCCAACACTGACCATCAGCTCTGTTGAAACAGCCACCCACCCACATGGCTGCAGGAATCCCTGCAGACCTGCCAATGGTAGCTGAGGTGTGATTCCCTGAGTCTATCCAATCAGTAGGTAGCATCTCCACAATCTGTGGACTCCTCCAGTTTACTGCCCCAACTCCTCATGGGAAGTGTGTAGCTGGTGGGCTCAGTTAGGCAAACTTCTCTCCCAGTCCTTACTTGCAGGAGAAGGTAGGTCAATGGATTCATCTAAGAAAGCAGATCTGCCAAGTGATAAGCAGACATGCAGGAGTGGGGAACATGCTACCCACGCTAGCGGGCAGTGCCTTCCTGGTAAACAGCATGGTAAATGTAGGTACCGGCCAGCAGGACCAGGGAGTAGGACTCTGCATACAGATAGTGCCTGACTTCTCCAAGGTACTCTCATGCCTGCTGACATCCCTGAGCACCACTATACGGCACCTCTACGGCCCCGGTCCCTAAAGAATGTCTCAGCCGTGACTGGATGGATCTACCATGTTTTGACAATTCTTACCTCTTCCACATATCAGTCATGTGACCTTGCACCTATGATTTACACTCTCTGAGCCACATTTTCCAATCAGTGAAAACAGACATACCGATGCCTACTTCTCAGGGATGGGAGAGTTAAAGAAGCTGATATGTGAAAGCATGCAACAGAGCCCGCACCTAGTGAGTGTTCCATTAATCTTAGAGATGGATGATGTTCATGTGAAACTCATTTAAAAAAAAAAAAACATTTAAAAAGTTTATTTACTCTTTTCTTCCATGAGCAAGAAAGAGAGAGAAATACAGCCCCTCTAACAAGGTCTCCAGGCCACCTCGACCCCCAGTCTTCAGCCAGCCCTAATTCATGGGCAAGCTCATGCCTGGTGTCCCCAGGGAGTTCTCCAGACTTGAACTCAGAATCATCCCGTGCGAGATTACCTCGTAGAGTGCTACGCTTTATTTCTGTGTCCCTGCTTGGCCCCTAAACTCACTTTTCGCAAGATGAGGCTGAAAGTCTCATTGGGTACAATGAGTACTTCTACTTCGTCACCACACCCTATGGGCCAAGGTGAAGTGACGTTTGGCAGAGCTATGTGCCATCCAGAGTCACCTACCATGGCCACCTCGTTGTGTGCCCAGCCCACACAACTATCCACGGTGGCCCTGGCTCAGCTATTATACCTAATGCACTTCTAGAACCCAATGGAAATTGCACCTCAATGTTGAGTCCCCAAAGTTACCCAATCCCAATGGTTTAATTAAATCTTATGAGACTTGAGGAAGGTGCACCCATCATCTGTCTTCTGAGTCTGACTTTGCTTCTCTGCCCATCGGCTGGCTAACTCCTACCCCAGCTTCACGCCTCAGCTTAAATGTCACTGCCTCTGGGAAGTCCTCCCTGATGCCCCTCCTCAGAGCTCCCACAACTGCCTGTACTTCCCTGTTCAGGTACACCTGAGCCCCCATGACTGATATAGCCATTCACCTGTTTCTCTGACTGCCTGAAATAACGTACTCCTCCCTGTGTCCCCGTGCCTAGCCCACTGCGGACGATGTGTACAGAATTAATGAGCTAATAGATTCACGACGACTTCTTTTGGAGACCTACCCAGAGCTCTCTCAGTATCAGGACAAGAAGTTCAGAGCTCCCAGAAGGCTCCGGGATGTCAGAACTCTGCAGCCTGCAGCCCAGCAGAGCTCTGGTTTGATTGCTAATGGAAACTGAGCTTACAGATCAAAGGCAAGGGCGCCTATGGTCCAGATCGCCAGCAGCTAGCACTATGGGACTAGGAGTGGAATCGGTCATTTGAAAATGAGTGGGTTAATGATTGACATTGATTTGTAACCCCCCTGCCCAGTCCAGCCCCGCCCCCAGCAAATGGGGCCTTTTCTCTCCTGGGCTGGCTAGGAAAATGGAGCTTCCCAAGTGGGAATTTATTTAGCTCTAGCTGCCCTGCCCTACCCACCCAATTTTCTTTTTTTTTCTTTCTTTTTTTTGGTGGTGGAGAAAGACAGTGAGAGGGAAAGTGAGAAGTCACCCCCCAGGGGGAATGGCCACACAGTGATCTTGTCTCCTCCATTCTCCTATTGGGATTTTGGGCACGCACACACACACATCCAGTGTGATTTTTAAGCCTCCTCGTCCAGGGCTCGACCTCAATTTTAAAGGGTCTTGTTCTCAAAACTCTACACTATTTCTGTTAGAGGTCTTAGAGAAACCTTAGCACCTGCGAGCCTTTCCAGAAATAAAAACTCACAAACTTGAGCCAAGGCGGAAAAGCCTGGTGCAGCTTTGCACCTGTAACACATGAGTCACTTGATTTAAAAAATACTCAGAAACCAAATTCGCGATTCTTTCTGTGTGGGCAGGAAAGTGGGGGCACGGAGGGTGAGAAACACTCAGCTGCACCAACTTGTGAAGTCCAACCAAGGTCTGGCTACTTTGAGGCTGTCCAAGACTTGGAAAATGACCTTCCCTGGTTCGTGGTTTACATGCTGGCCAGAGGGAGACCCAGGAGGGGAACAGCTGTTGGAGGGTTTTACCTCCCAAGCAGGTAAGGCAGATTCCTCACCTTCATTCAGAGGCTGGGGAGGAGAACTGGGGCCTCAAAAGGAGGGGGCTGGGGCCTCCTCTTCCCTGAGGAGAAGCAACCCCCATGCAAATTCTCCAGTGGACTTAGAATTGTAAATGTCCCAGGGACAGCAGGTGATGTCTGGTGGGGCGATGGACTCTCACGTGGCTTACCAAGGTTTGAGTCCTAGATCTTGGGGCTTGCTTTCTCACTTTCCCTCTCTCTGGTCCAATTGAAAAAGAATAAAAATGATGAATAAAATTAAAGTAATTATTAAAAACAAACAAACAAAAAGAATTGCAACTGTCCCAGCAATGGTCTCAGAATCTATAGGAGGAAAATGTCCTTTATAAAGGCAGTTGCTCAGGGCCGTGAGTCAGATAAGGCACACACTGCCTGTCTATCTACACCCCTGGCAGTTCCAGGGGCCTGGTTCCCAGAAGTGGGCCTGGGCTCAGGTGCTCATGCTCCCCAAGAGGAAAGGACAAGGGCAGGCCTGGGCTGGGCTGGACCTTAGCTCCTCTGTTTCTTCTTCTATAAGATAGGGATAGCCACTCCTCCCCTCCAGGTACAGTGAGGATGCAGTGAGCAGGTGGCTGCAAGCCTGGGACACAGCACTCCGCTGGTACCCAGCCCTCTCCTGCTCTCCTGAGAGGCCGGCACATTAGTTCTCGGTGACTGTGACTCATAACTCACCTAGGGTCATTCTAGGAATGCTTTTTCTCACTTTTTCTCGCTGCTTGTTTAGCTTAGGCCTTTCTAGAAAAGAGGCAGAAGAGGTGGAAAGGGAGGAAGAATGTGGCTCCATTGTCACTGAGGTCTCAGGAGAGGTGAGACCAATGGGACAGGTTGGCATAATCCCTTCCCACAGCTGTCTGCTCACCTGGTTTCTGCCTGGGGCTGAATGGCATGGACATGGAGGGCCTTGGCAGGGGTGAGGGGCACAGAAGGCCACCTCTGGTCTCTCCTTCATGTTCTTTAGCTCAACTTTTCTTCAAGTTTGTTCCAAGCAAGAGATCCTGGGCTGCATATTAATAAAACAATGGAATTTTTATTTCTTTTTCTCATAAATTACATAATTCAAACCTTAAAACACCTTTAATGAACAGTGACTGGGCATGTGACACTTAATAAAACTGGGCTCAGTTCGGTTTCTGCTTGACAGGCTACCAGCCGAGAATGTGCCTTATGAGTAAATGATTAAGAGGCGGGGATCTTTCCTGGGCTCCTACTATTAAACACTTCAAAGGTTTCCAAAGTCAGATAAAATGAAAAGCAAATGTGTTTCACTGCCTCTCAAATGCCTCAAATGTTTTAGCAGGTGCAAGCAATGAAACCTTCCATGGTGACAGCATTTTAGGGTCTGCAAAGTGCACCCGACTGAATTCTGGGAATTCTGGGCTGGCTTCATAAAAATTCATGATTTCCACAGAGGGGAGATGGTCATCTTCAGAGCCCGTCTACATATGTGGCGCGGGAAGAAACTACCACAGGGTCAGCTTAACCCTATTTGTTCCAGAAAATACCCCAGCACGGCATGCTGGAGAGCCCCAGCCAAGATGGTCAGCTGGGTGCTAGCAAAACACAGGGCCCAAATCTCTGGGCTGGCCTACGCATGCTAATGATCATTTTGATGCATTCTCGGAACACATCCCAGGCTCTGAGAGCCAGCAGATTTGGCACACTTAGACGATGTGATTTTTGTGCAAATTATTTAGCCTCGCTGTGCCCGTTTCTTTATCTGTAAGGAGGGGATAAATCATAGCACCTACCTTACAGAGTTTCTGGGGAGATAAATGGGTTAACATCGCAGACACACTTGGAGCACATGGCAGAATGCAATACACGGTCACGATTCTTTTTCTTATTGTCCCATTCGGGAAAAGGAGTATGAAAAGTGAGTATTCTACAGTTTGGCCATTTAAGCTTTTCATTTAAAAGGTGCTATAACTTAGCTTTATACGTTAGAGTAATCTCTCACATAGACATATAATATTTTATAGTTTACAAAGGACGTTCTGAGACGTTACCTCATTCCAACCTTGCAACGGGACAGCTCGGAAGGCAGGGAGGATCACCCAAGTGTGAAGAATGGTTACAAGTGCTGCGCGGCTCTCTTGCATAGTTGAAGCTGTCACTTGAGCCTCTGTGTCCTGAGGGCACCCATCTGTGAAATGGGCACAGACAGGCTCCCTTCGACCCTCCACAGCACGGCACAAGCCATACTTAAAAACGAGCGCCACCAACGTCTCTTGAGTTATCAGAGCTCAGGGGCCCCATTCTCCTCCCACGGTTTGCTTTTTATTCATGAAGGAATCGAAGTGCTCTTTGCATGTTATCACAGTAATCTTGAAAGCACCAGTTTATGAGACCTTGATTTTTCTTCTTCCCCTTCCTTAATAACGATTGCAATGAAATGGCATTCCAAGAGTCAATGAAGGAGAACCCCTGAGTTCTTTCCTCGGGGAATAGCTGAGCAGTGATTGTTATCAGAGAACATTCTCCTGAGTCCCAGGCAGCCTGCGATGACCCACTTCCCCCTCCGCAACGCGCCTGCCACTCAGCACATCTCCCAGAGCTTCTGCAGGCTCTGGACTCCTCGGAATTGGGAAGTGCCCATAGCGCCTTCACTGTGTGGTGGGCACTCCAGGGGGCGCTGCTGGGATCCTCTCCCTTCCCAGCCAGCACCAGGGCCTGCTCTCTGGTCAGTGAGCACACAGGGGCCACAGCCCAAGCAGAGATGGCAGGGCCAGGGGTAGTGTTTTGCCCTAGACATCCTGCATCCCCACAACACACAAAACACGCTGACCCCCCCAATTCAAATTGCACCCCCTCCTCTTAGCACACGCCACCCTCCTGTACCTTTCTGGCCATCAGAAGTAAGGGCACTGTGAAGAGATCCTTACCGTGTCGTCCATGACAGCATTATTTGTGAGAGCGACGAATACAAAACACCTTCCACATCTAGCGTTAATAAGACATGGCGCATCCGTGTACAGAAGAGCTTGGCAAGCATTTTAAATGAGGTTGACAGGGACATGAAAAGAAACTCATGAGGCAAGTCAAGTTACCCGTGAGAGGACTGTCATGCTATGTGCCTCTATGATTGCTTGCTTACTAGCAGTCCACATTTTATATAAAAATACTGAGGTGACGTGTGCCGATTTTAAAAAGCCTATGAGCTCATCAGCTCGTCAGTCATGTTCACTGTTTAGTCATCTGATTTCAGATTTAATATGTAATTTTTTTTTCCTTTGGCCCATCTGTATTTTCTGATTTCTCTATAAGAAATGTGATTGTTCTTGTTATGTTCTTAAAATGTTTCTTTATTCATGGTGAAGTTCATGTGAATGTATGATCTCTCTCTCTCTCTCTCTCTCATCTGGTCATTCCCTTTCTCCTGTCTCCAGCCTGTTGGATCCTGGGTACTCACACTCATGCCCAGCATGTGTCACAAGACCAGGGATTCAACCTGTGGATGCCCTGTGACATCCTGCTTCTCTTGAGCAGTGCATTACCACTAAGCCATGAAACCAGCCCCCTCAAAATGTTGTTGTTGTTTTTTTAATTAAAAAAAAAAAAAGTCAGGGTTTTATAACTGAGAGTGGCTTCGAAGCCACCAAAGGTAATGGCTCTCGTTTCCAGGCAGGTAGGTTGAGACCCAGAGAAGTGAGGCGCCTCCACACATACCCTTGGGCTATTTGGTAGCAGAACTATAACCCAAGCCAGGACCCTTAACTTTGTTCTTTCCACAACATCCTGCCATGTTTCTGAGACCGTGATAAATACACCAGGGACTTTCTTCATGGACTCAGCTGCAAGGCACCTCCTTTTTCTTAGTGAAAGAAGCATGTCTTAATTGGCCCGAAAGCCAGTGCGTCTGTGTCTTCCCTTACCACCACCTCTACTGCTCGTCATACAAGCAGGATTGAAAACCGAGGGCACACAGGACAGCGTATGTGCAGCACGGAGGAGAAGCGCCATGCCAGACTTCAGCGCGTGGTTCTGTCCTCGCTTCCATTGCTGCTATGGTCTGAATGTGTCACCCCAAATTCGTTCGTAGAAATCCTCTCCCCCAATGTGATGGTAAGAGGAGGGAGGGCCCTAGGGAAGTTACGAGGGTACAGGCCTCATGAATAGGATTAACGTCCTTACATTAGAGACCCTGAGAGCTCCCTGGGCCCGCTTCACCATGTGAGGACACGACAGGGTGCCCTATATGACACAGAAGGCAGAGCCTCACCAGACACGGAATCTGCAGGCACCTTGACCTTGGGCTCCCCAGCTTCCAGTACTGTGAGGAATCAGTCGTTGTTATGCATAAGCTTCCTAGTTTATGGTTCTTTGTTATAGCAGCCTGAACAGACTGAGACAATTGTGTATGTGGGGAACTATTTGGCTACAGGTAATGAATAATATTGCCAAATGAGTAAGCTGCGATTATATCAGCTTGTTTTAAACAAAGATTTAATTTTCCTAAGTTACCCCAAGCTCTCGTGGTTTTTCATTCACGTCCATCGTGACTCATTCACTTGTTGATAGTAGAATGAAAGGTGACTGTTCGTTCGATTGCAGTACTTTGTTCATCAAGGAAAAGAGAACCTATGTTTTGGGCAGTCACTTTGAGTGATGCTGAATGTTTCAGCGAGGCCACCGCTGTGCGTTTGGAGAGGAGATAAAGGCCTGGGTTGCAGCTGAACTTCTGCCAAAGCTTCTGAGAGAGCAGATTCAAGCTGATGCTAACAGGGCCCACCTTTCCTTACCAGGGCATGGTGCTTTGCAGCCTCATCTCCCAAAATTCTCAGGAGGACACCTCTCCCCCGCCGCTGTCTGAGACATGCCTGTTAGATTCCTCTGAAGAGGGCAGACAGACGTGCAGAGAAGCTAGATGGGTTTCCAAGTAAGGGGTTCCTACTTCCTCCTTCAATATTTCTTTCTTTCTTTCTTTTTTCCCCTGTACAAGCCTCGGGAAAAATCTGAGTACATAGGCAGGGCTGCCCATTGCTCTGAGTCTGACTATGAGAGGCAGAAGGATCACTGAACCATTCAGAAATGAGGATAGAAACGTTAAATCATGGAATACGTCCCAACCTCCGACGCTCCAAACTTAGAGCTTGCATTGTGTGCATTATTGGTTTTCCTTTTCTAATTTTGTTTTTTTTTTAGACTTTAAGTTATCCCAAAGTCTGAGAATTGTCACTCCTGAGAATCGATTTCACAAAAGTAGAAGCACAATCACCTGATGATACGGATCTACGTATAACATGTAAGGGTGTTTAGCACAGCACTGTGTGTGCGGCCAATCAAATAAATGCCCTTAATGGGAGAATTTTCCAATAAATTAGAGTTCATTCTCCTGATGAGTGGATGAAACCTTCATTATTTGGTGGGGGAGTGAGTTCCAGCTTGAACTGATGAGTGAGAAAAGCAAGATGCAGCCATGCATATGAAATACGTCTGTACTCTGGCCCTGTGTTTATATTTGTATGTCTGTATATGATTATATGAGCTTAGGGTAAGGTGGAAAGGGCACGTAACAGGTTGTTAACATGAGCTGGAAGTGGGAGGTGGGGAAAATGATGGGGGAAGCAAGTTTTAAAAAGACATATATAATAAGATCTTAAGTGTGCAAATTATATAGGAGTGGCAAATGTGTAGTATGAAAAGGCTCTGCGTGGATTTCAAACTTTTTGCTCCAAAATAAGCTCATACTTTAATTCCGTGTTTCCATGAACCCTTTGCAGGCCCCTTACATGTGTATGGAAGTGTATAAACATTTTTTTTAATATTTAAATATTTATGGATTCATTGGCTTGAGAACCATTAAGGATATAAAGCAAGATAGATTGAGAGAAATTCACAAAGAATCTGTCCATGAAAACATACTTTTTAGGCATGTTCACGTACTTGAGAATCATGTGGGAGGCTTCTGGGGAGTGCTAGGTACTCAAGGACAGGGGTGGGGGTGATGGGAACAACCAGCTTTTTCTTTATACGGTTTTGTCCTTCCTTAATGCATTATAAACCATTTTTTTCTTTGTATTCCAAAATGTATCACATTGACAACGTTTTGAACGCTCCAATGTACTTATTCCCTCGTGGTTTTAAGTGACGCATTGAGTGATTCTCTGTTACCCAAACAGGTGGCCCACTGAGCCACCGGCTGTCCTTGACGGGAAGGCACTTCCGGGCAGGGCAGCTGGGACCGGCCTCGGGTAGCCTGGTGAAGGGCTGCAGGTGTCTCCTGTCAGAGGCTAGGTGAGGGCCAGATGTGGTACCAGGGGAAACGCATTCCTCACACAGACCCAGGGAAGGCAATATGCCCTTTGGGGGTCTTTTGATGGCCACACGAGGCTACTACAGCCTGTTTCCCCACTCTGGCCACCTGGCACCTTGCCATAGGTCTTTCTAGGTCTTGGGGCTCCATCTAAGGTGCCATTTTTGGAGGAGAGAGAATCAGAGTCCTGAGAGGGTGACTCAGCCCACCTCGTGAGAATTTAGTCTCTACTTCCTCTACCTAGGTCGTTATTGTTGTATATATGGAGCAGGAAGAAAACGGGCAAAGAAAATGCCTGACGCTGATTTAGTTCCCAGGAAGTTTTCACGTAGGAAAAAAACATGAGGCGGAATTCTCCAGACTCAACTCTGGCAGAAATAGGAAAAGAGAAAAGGTTGAGGTCAGGCATACGATGCTCATCAGTGCTGTTCCAGGGAGGCAGGTAGCAGGCCAGCCCAGGACTGTGTGCAGGTCAGCCATGCTCACATGCTAAGGCCAAGAGCTGGTGCTCTGTCAGGCCTGGGACTCGACAGGGCAGCTTCTCCACCTGGCCCACTGGCTACTGCCCACTTCCCCGCCAAGTTTCCCCCGTGGCACATACCACCACCGCCATTGCATACATTGCATTTGTTTATGGCTTATTCTCCCTTTTCCAAGGTCATAGGTTTTTATCGTTGCTGCCTGCTATATGCTCATTACCTAGAACAATGTACAGGGGGCAACTCAACGCGTAATAAGTGAATGAATTATTGGGTTGTTGGAAAAGTCATAATGCATTTTTGCATAGAGAAAAATACGTTATGAGTTTTCAAACAACCCAGTAGCAATACGTTATGGTTTGGATCATAGTTTGTCCCACAGCGTTTTATGTTTTGAGATTTGATGTTGGGAGGTGGCCAGGTCTAGTGGGCAGTGATTGGTTCACAGAGGCA